GCATACACACTGAATAGTGCCACTGTCCATTCGGGCTCGAGTCGTGATCGAACATATTGGATGCTGACAGGCTGCTGGTGTGCCCATCAATGATCAGCCGTGCCCTCAGAGTGATGGGCATGGCTACTGCTTGCTACCGTAGTATAACTTGGAGAACCATGGACAAAACCCCCATGAGAACTGGACCCCGAAATGCTCCGTTGAGGGAACCTTTTCATAAATGGGTTTACTATGTTTTATTCAACGCAGATGAACAAAACCAGGGAGATGATGAGATCAGTTTGTTTATTTCCTGTTCATGACAGTTAAGTTGTCCATTCTCCAACCAGGTAACCACCAAACGCTAAGATGACTGTGTGACATGTTCTGTTGATTGCTCCCCAGTGGATATGGTTCAAAGCCCGCTTTCCCGTTTGTTTCACTGAAAAATTCAACTAAAACCATCTGAGCACGGCGGATGTGCCACTTCCAAGTTAGTTAGCAAGAGGGTACGCAGCATTTTGTTCGAAATCGAGCCCCTCCCCCGAAAAAAAAGGTTTATCCTTAGGTTCCCACTAAAATTGCCGTTTTGCTGAGTACTAAGTACCCTTGTTTGACAAACCCAGATAGCCAACTACCCAGCTACTGTGGGTGTAATTCCCCCACTGCTGTGTCAAATCCAAACCGTCCCAAACCCATATCAGATACATATAATTATACTATCGTATACTATCATATACTATCATATACTATCATATACTATCGTATACTATCATATACTATCATATACTATCATATACTACCATATACTATCATATACTATCATATGCTATCATTTACTATCATATACTATCATATACTATCATATACTATCATATACTATCATATACTATATATATTATATTATATATATAATATATATATAAATATATTATAATAAATATATTATAATAAATATATATCCCCAAATCTGGTGTTTTGAATCCATGTTTCATCTCTGTTGGGTAAATATATATATATATATATATGCAATGTACGTATATTTATAACTACGGCGTACATTGCATATCTGTCTCTCTGTCTGTCTATCTTTCGTTATTACCAATATTTATGAATATATCAGATCTGTGATGGGTCTCAGATACACATACATATATATATATATAAATAACCCTGATAAATAACATATAGATATGGGTAAATGGTGCCATTTATTTTATATATATATATCATATACATATACACATCTGTTTGTGGGTTTCAGACCGAGGAACTTGATCAGAGCCTTAGAGGAGGCGGGGTTTGAAACAACCGCGCTGCACAGCGCGGTTGTTTCAGCTGGAATGTATTGGAATGTATTAGCAACGTGAAGACAATGCGGGTGTCTGAACATGTATGGGAAACCTTTGGGTTTGCAGATTATACAATCATGGTTCATCGTGATGTTCCCTATAGTAAACTATTTGGTGGGCATACCATTTGTTCGAGACTTTTGGACTATCCTAAATTAGACTTGCTGTAAGTTGTAAGTTAGCTAGTGTATGAGGAGCACGTTAACCAAGGTCAATGCGCATTATTGTATTGTCCGTGGTTAAATAATCTGGGGCCTATCCCTGGCGAAGTTGGATCCCAGTGATCTCAAGCTGCACAAAAAGTGATGGACAAGTTGCAAGGAAAATATCTGACATAGTGCCATCATATTCCATTCACTGGTTTTCTTCAAGATGTCGCACCAGAAGCAAACATGAACAAGCACAAGACCAATTCCTGTATCCAATCAACTCTTTTACTTGTACTTGCCTCAACTCCAGGGTACTTCTCGATTATTCTAGGTTTTGATTTAAAAAAAATGGCACGCAACCCTGGAGAACATATGGAGGAACAAAAACACATTAAAAAAAAACAGGCCATCCTAGAGATTAAAAACCTCGAAACATTATAACATGCTCTAAACTGTACGTTTGTTTCATGTTTTTTTCAGGGAAATCCCCGAAGCAGCCAGGCGGCCGGCGCACGAGGTGGCAATCCGAGCCGCGAGGCGAAGCGGCGAAGTTCCCCAGAAGCGGTGGTTTCTTGAAATGGGGGTGTTGAGATATCATATTATACCACTAAAAAAAAATGTATATGTATATATATATATATACCTGGATCCTCTTGATCGTGGAAATTTCCACACCAAAGCCAAAATCGATCAATTTTGCGAAGCTCCAAGTATATATATATATATTCCAGTATTGGGAAGCTCCAGTTATATATATATATAATGGGGATGTTGATATCCTAACCCATCTGCGAACCATGGAACCATGGTGCTGGAATATTTACCTACAAAACTGGGTGATTTATGTTGGGTAAATGTTGGTAAATATTCCATACATGGAGCATATGGGTACAGTAATGGTATAATGATTAGAATGAACCCTTTTTTACGGTAGTTATAATGATATAATGTTATTATAATGAGATTATAATGACGTTGTGAAATCATGTTGCCACCTTTGCGTTTGTGTATCGGAATGGCACATCAAGCAGAGTTGATTCCTCTCAGATGGTAATGTCAATAGGAAGAGATTAATCAACCCTTCCTGGGGGTGACCTCGCTGATGGATCAACCAGGGTTTATTCGTTTGGGGTTAACATTTCTTCAGCGACCTAGGTTCATGTGTTAACTAAGTGAGCCAACGCGTGCTTGGGATGCAGGTCCAGCTGTGAGTGACACATCATAAGCATAGTTGTAGATATATGGTATAGGGTTTAGATTCTAATTTAATCATATTTAATTTAGGGGGATTATAAACGGATTTGAAGCAGTCTTATATCCATTCATCACGGAAACTGCTCCCTCAAGGGTCATGTCACCTGCAAGGATGTGGTCCGTGCACGTTCTGGGGCGCACGACTACAAGGTGGCACCACGGCCGGCAGGGAAACCCAAGGACATGATATCGACCAAGAACCGTGAAATTTGTTGGATAGTAGGCTTCCCCATGGTTCCAACTCTTTTTTTTTCGCACCTCCAAGTTTAAAGTTCGAAGAGGAATTTGCCAATAATTGATATAACATGATGTAACACTTTGTTTGTAGGATGTTTTTTGTTTCGGGTTGCCACAGTGCCACTCATCAAATTTTGGTGGATTTCTGAGCGTAGAACCTCCCAAGGATTCCGACGGCGGAAGCAGTGGCTCCGAGGATAGCGCGTCCGGGGTCTCGGGGATGCAGGATGAGTAGATTTTGTGGTTCACCCCAGGTCGGAAGTGGGTTATGACTTGGAAGCCCAGCTACATCAGTTGCACCCCTAGGCTTGGCTTAGTCCAGTCATCTCACTGGGGTGAAGTACTGAAATTCACAATTACTGGGCGGAGCCAACAAGTGTGTCCAGCAAGAATTTGAAAAGTGAAACAAACCAAACATAGGGTCAAATGAGCCAACAGAAATTTGTAGTTTGGTTAGATTGCTAGGTAACCCTTGAATACATCTCACAACCGAATCGAACATGAACACCCATCTAAAACGGGTTGTATTCGCTTTTGCCAATTCCTCCCCTCTGATATGGCCCCCCGTAGACACCATGGATTTGCACTGGGATTCCCAACCCAGATCTTTACAGATTTTGTCTCTGAGGCGCCCCAGGGAGCCACGACAGCAGGACGCTCTTCAGCGGCGACGTCGGATTTGATGGGTTCATGCGCCAACGGTTTGAACTACTTCGGGTTTTCGACTTAAAAACTAGGAACTTTGGAAGTTGAGTAATGTTGGGTCAAGGGTTGTTTGGTGGGTGATTGCCAGAAGGAAATGGCACATCTAAGATTGGCCATGATTGGCCATTGACCGTTAAATTGACGGGCACAAACTTACTATTCATCGTATCGAAGTGTTTTCAATGTGTCTGTTCCTATCCTTGCGGCCCTTGCCATGCATTGACCACGGGTGGGTGGTTACGTTATGATATAGTCACAGCATGTCACAGCTACGTACTGTTGAAGGCCTCCCTCTCTAGATGTCCCTCATCCTGAAAATATAGGTGTTTGCGGAATTTGACCTATATCGATTGGTTTTAGCCGAAATACCTAGATGATTACTTAGGTTTTTTGGACTTAGGACTTTGTTTGGGCTGTTCTGCATGATTTTGAGCCTAATGAGGAAAGGCAAACAAATGCTTGCAGCCCCGCAAAGACCCGCACAACTCCCACAAAAAACGCAAATCCTGAAATTTCCTTGTTTGTGTGGTTTTCGATTTTTTTCGATTTCAGACACTCCTCACCTTGTGTATATTTGTGTATGGCGCAGTGCTGAGATTTCCTCGGAACATACACGTTTGGCACCAACGTGATGTTATTTTTCGGTTGTTTGGCCGCTTGGCCCATCTTCTTGGAACGACATGTTTTTCGCAGAGGGTCGAGGTCGATAGGCACCCCAGTGATCAAGCCTCATCGAATTTGGCAGATCGGGTTGAAGATTTGCCGCATCCGTAGCAAATCCTTGTTGATTACTTCGATGGGTTGCCACCAAAGAATGATATGGTTCATATTGATTCATGGTTCCCCCTTATCAAACAGCCCAGTGGCAAATGAACATTTGCAGTTCACATTTTGCCGGTTGGTGTTGTTGTCATTTCTTTCCATCTGTACCTTTGGCCGACGCTTACCATCCCCCAAACTAATATAGACACTGCCACGAGCTGAGGGTTTGATTTTATGCTACCTTGGTTTTTGTTCACCCTTCATTACAAGCCACCAGTTGCCCTCCCAAACATTTTGGCGATTTTCAGAGTTACGGCTCGAGGATATCCCGTTTTTTTTGCTCATTGAGTTGTTCGTAGATATTGGCTACATCATTAGTTGGTTAATCCCATTGTTGCTTCAGTCATTTTTTTGCTGTTGAAATTAAAATTCTGGATAAACCGCTTAAAACCCAATACCATGATAAACTATGATAAACTTTCTTGGAATTTTTGAAATTCCCATGTTGGTTGCCGTTTGTTCACAAGACCCGGGAATGATCTGAGTCAGAGTGACGAGAACGGCAGGAGATCAAACCTCAGACAGCTGTCCTGACCTCAAGCACCGCACCACTGGGATTTGTCCAAACATTGTATTCTTGGGTAAGCGGTAAGCATACACAAAATGTGGAAATTCTTGGTTTCCCCAGGAGTATGATCTACAAGTGGTGGGTTTTCCATTGTCTAAACGGTTACAGGAGGGTTTGTACTGCAACTTTGATGGAGAGAATTAACGAAAAATCGCTAGACTTGGCCCTCCCATTTTCAAGTAAAAACTAGGCAGAAGGGTTGCCTCAGCTAGGTTTTAGGAAACAACATGTGGAAATGGAACACCTTTATTTTTGGATTTCTTTAGGCAATGACAGAGCGCAGGGGTATGTTATTTCTATATTTTAAAACTTACTAGATTGCCAGGACTTGTTGCTCACCTATTTCTGTACGGATCTGCTCACTTATTGGGTAAGTTTTCAAACTTTTCGAGTGATTCGTGACCGCTCAGTTGGTAGAACAATGACATCCATGGAATCTTCCAGGTTGCGTCCATCACCTTCAACAGTGCATTGGCGCAGATGAACAAGAAACCCATTCAGGCTGTCGGTCTTCAGCAATGAGTGTGAAAAAAACACGGGATATCCAGGACTCTAGGATAATATTAATATATTATATATATATATATACAAGATATATAGATATAATTAATATATAAATATAAATATATATATATGACTTATATATGTTTAGACAGTCACATGACTCACGTTCACGGCTGAGCTGAGCCGTTCACGGCTGGCGCTTTGCGCGTCTCGTCAGGCCATGCGCGTTCTGGAAAGCATGCGCGTCAGCATGCCCGATGTGGCCGCCCTGCAGCGCATGGATCAGTTGCGCAATGGCGGCAGGCGCTGGAGCGCCTGCTGTGCCATTCATGGAATCTCATCAACGCGGGGTGTGGTAAACTAACATAGCTATGAACAATCATCCTTTTGAAGGGGTAAATCAACGAACTAAATGGCAATTTCCAATAGCTATGTTAAATTAAATTACCAGAGGGTAAAGAATTTGTGTGGGATAACCGGGTTCAATTACTGCAGGCTATGGGATATATAGTGAGATATCATTCATACTATATTGGGATATTATTGGATGCCATAATACTTTAATATAGCATTTTACTTTATCACTATTTGCATATTATATCAATACTACGTATATCAGGCTAGTGGTTTTAGCCTTAATATTTGGATGCACAATGACCTCACGTCGAGACCGAAGCCTGAGATCAATGCTACCTGGGATCATGAGATTGAATGTACCTTATAATATTATAGGCTATAGGGATAACTAATGTATGTATTAATGGGATTATATGGGATTGCTGGGATTAACATTTCAAAACTAATGGGAGAATCAATGGCATAATTCATGATCATTGGATATACCCTCTGGTGTCATCAAATGTGGCCAGCTGGAAAAATCCGCAAACTAAATGGTTGGGAAAATCATCTATGAACCTATGATCTATGCATGAGCGATTTCCCATTGCCACATGTGATTATGGGTGGGGTAGCTTTTTCTTGAGGATTATGTCAGGATGATGGTTTGTAGGACCCCAAACTGGTTCGTTGGGGACGGTAGATCAAGTTTTATTATTTGATGATTGGCTTGGCCGATTTGAAACCAGCAGTGGCACCGTGCCAGTTTTACTTTGCCAAAGGAGCCGGAGGACTGGCTGGGCATGGGCAAAGTGCTTTTCAACGGGCCCCAAAAATCCTTGAAGAAGCCATACTGGAAGTCTGCAAAAGTCACCAGAGATGATGGTTAGATATGGTCGGGAACATTGGAACAAAACCTCTTTTTCTTGGATTTGTTCAATACCTTCTTGGTAAACTGCCCCATAACTATGGAATATGACAATTTTTAATGGGTAAATCCACTATAAATGGCCATTTTCAATAGCAAACTGTTAGTTTTCCAGAGGGTACTGATTAGAACCTTGCTTTTTCGCCGGTGATGCGACTGAAATTTCCACCATCGCTGGTTGAACCATCCCGAAGGATGATGGGGTATTCAGATGCTGCTTTCAACAGTAACTTGAGTAATTATATAAATGGGAAATTATAAATGGGAAAGATAATTAACCATAATATGGGTAAATTATTCATAAATATGGGTACAGTTATCCATTATTAATATATATCTGGATAAATATACTGGCTGGTGGTTTCAAATATTTTTTTTATGACTTTCCATCATATTGGGAATGTCATCATCCCAACTGACTTTCGCATATTTTTCAGAGGGGTAGGTCAACCACCAACCAGTATATCATCAATTCAGTAGTCTTGTTTTCGCAAAACCGATTCCTTTGCTGCGTTCCTCCTAGTTAGCAAACTGGTTGCCAGTTTGAAATCATCAGTTAACAGAACATTTGATGGTTTAGCAGGGTCTTATCATCATGTTCTCCCAAAAAAAAGCATGTCAAGCCCCAAGATATGTTGGTTTAGCATGGTTTAGCCGGTTTAGCATATATATATATATATATTGTCCCATATATTTTCGCGGTTTTCTCCAGACGACATGGCAATTCTATGCAGTTCTATGGTGTCCATCCCCCAAAATTCCCCGCGTTCAGGAAGTGGTGCGAACGCTGTGTCAGGTGGCACCGGACGCTGGGCGCCCACCCCCTGAGGCGCCGGACAGGATGTTTCATGATTTTTCGATTCTCAGAGTCTCAGATCTTTGGGGAGAGACTAATACATGGAGGTTTCCATAAATGGGGGTACCCCGAAATGGATGATTTGTAAGGGAACATCCTATTAAAATTGATGATTTACGGGTACCCACATTTTAGGAAACAACCATATATATATATATATATAGATCACATGAAATCTATAAAAATCTTTAGTTAATGATTCCATGAGTCTTGAGGGAATATTTCAATCTTTAGTCTAGTCAAAATGAATAGACACGAAAGATTTTGATCCTTCATTATGAATCCCTCGGGGTCGAGCATGCCCATTGCTTGATGGTGTGATATGGTGTGATGATCAAGCATCCTATTTGGGGCTACCAAATGCCAAATGATGATTTATACCCTGGTAATATAATCTTCACACAATTTCATGTTATGTGATGTGTGTTGATACCAAGATGTATTCACCAAGAAACCCGCCCAGTAATTTTAGATGGATCTTCGAGGTAATTTGAACTGTGTGATGTGAAAGTTTGCCCAGTCATAACGTGGTAAAGCCTGGCTGCCGTAGTCACCATCCCCAAGTCACCAATTTTTGATGGGATTCCAACCTCCAAATGGGCCGGTTCAAGCCTCAAATGTTCCCTTCCCAGCAGTTGGTGATTTGCTGGGGATGGTTACCGACCTGGTTACCCCATTTTTTGGAAAATACGAAGTGTTGCTCTGCTCCAAGCGGTTTTCAGGTGGTTGGTGCTGCCTTGAAGGCTGCAGGTTTGCCGGCCACAGAAGAGAACCTGGAGAAGGCGGTGGTTTACCATGGTTTACCTATGTTTACCTATGTTTACCAATTAAAGATTAAGATGTTCCAGCTTAAATTATCAGAGGCTACCATCTGGTTATTTGTTACATAGCCATGGAAAATCACAATTTCTAATGGGTAAACCATCTATAAATGGGCCATTTCCCATGGCTATGTTAAATAACCAGATGGTATATAATTGGAAGTAAAGTTATCAAACCTAACTGGGCTGCACCACTTTTTTTTGGATCATATCGCCTCGACCAGCATGCAGAGCCATTGGCCCCATTCCCCCATGGATACTGAGTACTGGATCGATGAAGCACATATTTTTGGCGATAGGCAAACTTAAGGTAGGCCCAGCTTCAGTTAGGCACCCGGCCATGCTGCCACTCAGTTCAATCACAATTCCTGGGCACATGGCCGGTGTCAAATGATTTCATCTCCATACTTCGTAAGAGGAATCCTCTAGGTCACTCTAGGCACGACTTAGCTTTGCTGTATTTGCAAGCTGTCCGCATGGGGGTGGCCACTTGGTTTGTCCCTGTTTGCTGTTT